GGAGGTGTCTTCAGGGCAGAGCTGAGCACACAGTGGGTGGGATGGGCTCTGTGAGCACTGGCAGGGAGGAGACCTGGACACAGAGAAACAGTTGCAGGCAGCGGAGCCATTGGCAAGGGGTGGGGGGAAACTGCCAAGAAGCCCTGGGGGAGGCTGCCTTCAGGCAGCTCTCTTTTGATCCTTCCCTGTAGATGCCTTCTGGGCATTGTCTGCTGGTCAAGGAGCTGACTCTCTGGAGAACGTCCCATCTCTAAGGAGCCCTGACTGTCTGCTTTGCCTGTCCTGCTGGGCTTGCAAGCTGTCCCCAGAAAGGCAGCTCTGTCCCCAGCTCTGCTGTAGGATCCCAGGGAGTGCTGAGCCTTTCCTTGGGGGTGGGCACTGTCCTCTGAGATTCCTCTCCTTCTCTCTGGGAGGGGTCTTGTCCTGCTGTCTTCACCACAACTGCATCTCTGGGCTCGGACAGAGAGGAGTTTGCAGATCTGCCTGTTCCGTATGAGTTCAGTTGTTTTTATTTAAAGAGTAATTTGTGTGTGAAGTCACCTTCAAGGCAGCACCAGTGAAAGTGCAGGGCAACTGGGCAACAGACTGATGGACACTGCAGCTCTCCTAGCTCTGCACTAAGCCAGAGGGTACCGAGCACTTTTGCATGTCCCGTTTCAAGAGTTCACATTTCATTCATAAAAATGAAGCTTTTTTACTCCTAGAAAGAACACTCGCTACATTTGATGGTGAAAAATAAAAACCACAAACAAAACTCCTATAAGAACATGATAAACCTCTCTTCTGCAGCCCACACTCTTCAGAGTCATGAGTGGTGATACTGAACTTCTCCATGAAAGGTGGGTTACATCTGACATCCCTTGTGAGCTGTCACAAATCAGCTCCAGGTACCCGCTGCAGCAGAGCAAAGCTGACTCCTCAGCTCCTCACAGCACACTCAGCCAGCACAAACCACAGACAAGAAATGCATTTCCACTGGGGGGGATTTCTGTCAACAAGGGAGTGGCTTTGCTCACGTCTGTCCTAAGTTTTCTCTCTCCTTTGTTTTATGAAGAGGGTCCTCATGCCACAGAACAGAAGATGTTCAACAGTAGCTCCATCACCCAGTTCCTCCTCCTGGTATTTGCAGACACACGGGACCTGCAGCTCTCGCACTTCTGGCTCTTCCTGGGTATCTACCTGGCTGCCCTCCTGGGCAACGTCCTCATCATCACCACCATAGCCTGTGACCACCATCTCCATACCCCCATGTACTTCTTCCTCCTCAACCTCTCCCTCCTTGACTTGGGCTCCATCTCTATCACTCTCCCCAAAGCCATGGCCAATTCCCTTTGGGACAACAGAGCCATCTCCTACTTGGGATGTGCTGCACAGCTCTTTCTGTTTGTATTTTTCTTTTCAGCAGAGTATTGTCTTCTCACTGTCATGGCCTATGACCGCTACGTGGCCATCCTCAAACCCCTGCACTACGAGACCCTCCTGGGCAGCAGAGCTTGTGTCCACATGGCAGCAGCTGCCTGGGGCTCTGGGTTTCTCAATGCTGTCCTGCACACGGCCAATACATTGTCACTACCCCTCTGCCAGGGCAATGTCCTGGGCCAGTTCTTCTGTGAAATCCCCCAGATCCTCAAGCTCTCCTGCTCACACTCCTACCTCAGGGAAGTTGGGCTTATTGTGGTAACTGCCTGCTTACTATTTGGTTGTTTTGTTTTCATTGTGGTGTCCTATGTGCAGATCTTCAGGGCTGTGCTGAGGATCCCCTCTGAGCAGGGGCGCCACAAAGCCTTTTCCACGTGTGTCCCTCACCTGGCCGTGGTCTCCCTCTTCCTCAGCACTGTCTTCTTTGCCTACCTGAAGCCCCCCTCCATCTCCTTGCCATCCTTGGACCTGGTGGTGTCAGTTCTGTACTCGGTGATGCCTCCAGCAGTGAACCCCCTCATCTACAGCATGAAGAACCAGGAACTCAAGGGCACCCTGAGAAAAATGAATGTTTTTCAGAATCAATAAACAGTCTGTTTTCTTCTGCACAGCATTCATAATGTAACTCATTATGGGCCCAGCCTGCCTTTTCAGATTTTTGTTGGTGTTGGTCATGGTGTGAGATTTCTTGTTTTTCTTCTGATAATCTTGTTCACAATAAAATTTTATAATTATATCCACTTTTAATTCATTGTCTAGCTGTACAGTTTGACCCAGAGTCTGTGTAAAAGAAGTGCGGTGCTCTCTGTCTATTTAAACACAATAAAGGACCCTGCATCAATATTTTTGTCTTAGATCCTTCCTCTGAGACCTTCATAAAGGTTCATGGCTGTATCTGTGTGCAGAGGCGGAATGGAAAATACTCCCAGCACAGCAGCACTGCCAGGGAGCACTAGTGCTTGGCCTTTCCAGAGCTGCTCACTTTCCACTTCCACACTCTCCTTCTCAGCCCCTCTGTTGGTGGAAAGCCCAAGTGCTTTGGAAGCTTGGTCACTGTCCTGCTGTGTGGTAGTCCTGCAGACAGGGACAGGCAATGGGTACTTCTGTGACCTCCATAATAACGTTCCCATCATCCCATAAGGGGATCTCCTTAGTGCAGTGCCTGAAGGCTCAGCTCTTCTTCCAGAGTTACCCTCAAGAACATGCCCAAGGAATAGACTCTAAAGAGACTTGTGGCTTTTCTTGTTTCTCTAATGGACCCCGCTGAGAACGAGCCTGTCCAGCATGGTGTCACCCAAAGATAATATGCTTAATCTGGGTGTGACCTGGTAAACAAGAGCTCTATAACCACAGGGACTGCAATAGGCACAGGGAAAGGAGTCTGGGTGAGTGATTCATTTTACCCTCAGTGACCTTTCATAGACTGGATCCAGTGCAGCAGCCAAACACAACTCAACATTGGAACAAGGCACGGTACCTCTGAGCACCTTCCAATGAGCTTGTGTGGGAGCCTGTCGTTGCTTGGTCTGCTTCTCAGCTTGACCAGCACAGCCCAACAGAGTCACCCCATGACCCCAGGAATTACAGCCCTCATGCTCTGTAGAGCAGCACCCCCACCATGGGGGCTGTGGGGAGCACGGGGAGAGGGTGTAGGAATGGCTGGCCGGGTCAGTACAGATGTGCTCACCTGGGGAAAGGCTCTGTGGGGAGATGGGATGTCCCAGGAGAAAAGCAGGGCACCATGTGTGCACGGGGGAGAGACACAAAAAGAAACCCTTTTCTGCAGGTGCCAGCTTGGGGCAGGTGCCCTGTCCCTGGGGTAACAGGAACTGCCTGAGGATGAAGAACACAATGGCTGTGAAAGGGGCTGTGAGGGCACTTCTGCTTCTGGAGGGGACAAGCCAACAGGAGGAATTTGGCTGAGAAAGGGGCTATGAGGTCACTTCTTTATGAAACAGCTGATAGGTCAGCCCTTTTACTCATGACCAGGATATGTGCATTAAAGCTCATACTTACCAGCTTCTCTGACAGGCCAGCAGAAGGCACCTGGTTGGCACATTGACCATGAAATCCTCTCTGCTGTAGTAAGCAGGCTCAATCCTGGAAGGGGGCTTGGATTTCGGTTGTTGTGTCTCTTCTGCCTGAGTATATCATGGGACAGCAGCAGGCATAGAGCTTAGTCGTGTCTATCTGAGAAGCTGGAAGGTTATCAGCCTTGGGAGATCATGGTGAGGTTACTGCTGTCTGGTCAGGTGGGAGGTCACAACAAAGCTGATGGGTTGGGATACCTGCTTGAAGAGTCATTGCCCAGATAATGGAGCTTTCCTTGGAGTTAGGAAACAGCAGGAGAGACACTCTGCCACATAGCGCAGCTTGGAAGGTGGAGACTGGACATGAGGAGGATGAAATGTCACTCAAAGGGTAGTGCTGTGATACAACAAACCATCCAGAAGGAGTCTGAGATCAGCCCATCTCCTTGTGTTTCAAGGAACAGAGTGTGAGAGTAACAAACATCTGTGAATGTATGGAAATGACAGGGTGAAACCATATGGGGAAGCAAGATGGGTGTCTACAGCCTGCAGGGAAAAGGAAGCAACTGTGGGACAGTGTGGGACAACCTGTGGTGGAGGTGGCAAAGGGTGCTGTCAAGGCTGGAAATTGCCAAGAGAACCCAAGTCTTTGTCTCCTCGGCTCTGGCAATCGTCTCTGCTGCCAAGGCCTGGGAGGAGACACGCTGTCTTCAGGCACTGGGACCTCATTGCCTCCTTGCACACCCCCAGTAAGGCTGGGAACTGCCATACCATTGTCCTTCACTCAGCATCACACACCCCACTGCCCCAGGAAGAGCCCCAAGCAATGGGTGAGGGACAGGATCTGCCTCGAAGGGGTTGGGGCTCAGGGCTTGGCCATTCTACTTCACCAAACCAAGCCAGGGTTTTCTCAGCAGCTGAGTGCCTTGGCCTACCTGCAATCATGGCCTCCAATTATCTGCTCTAACGAGTCCCTGGGGAGACTTTGTTAGTACTGGCCCTCAGTGGAACTCAATAAAACTTCAGGGTGCTTCCAGTTCTTCTTCTGACTTTGTCTCATGGGAAGGTTTGTTCAATCTTCTCTTAGTACCTTGGGAGCAAGGACTCAGCTCCAAACACACCATGGGACTCATTAAAACAAAGCAAGTCCTAACAAAACATGTCTCTCCCTGTCATTTTCTTCTAGTTTTGCACAGTTAATTAGAGAGGTTTCCTGGTATAGTTATGGAGAAATATTTCCAAGAGCTTCTAATAAAAATGACCTTTTAGTTTTTAAAGGGTTTAGTTTATTATTTTTTCATTTAGAGAAGACGTGACAGCAGAATTCTCTGATTGTTATTGATCCAGAGTCTTTCCTAAGGAGATGTGGACAGGCAGGAAAAGCTGTCCCTTGAGGTCTGACACAGTGTGGACAACCTTACTCCTCACCTCCCCAGTCCCATCTTGTCTCTCATCAGCCACCTGGGACTTGCATCCCTTTCCCTTCCATCAGACTTCTCCCCTGCAATCTGCAGCTGGGAGTTACAGCTCCTTTGTACCAGCTCCCACCTGCTTTCCCTCGAGAACTGGCTGCACAAAAATAAAGAGTCATTTTTCTTATTTTCAAACAAACAAAATGAAACTGAACAGATTCATTGTTAAAATAAAACACACTCCTCAATTGTGTGCCAAGTACAAGCTGCCACCAACAAGGGTCACTTTCCACAAGGCATAACCATGCAAGAAATGTTTTAGACTGATAGAAAATTATAAAATAAACACAATTAGAGTTGGCTAAAGACCTAATTAGACAGATCACTGAAAGACAGGTAAGCTTTTAACTCCCTGAAGCTCAAAGCAGCAACTCGATTGTAGAGAACTGTCTGAATGATCAAAGAGTAAGGAGAAAGGCAATGTGGAGAGCAACTGCAAGGGCTTCTGTGCAGGTAGGCTGCTGGAAAGGTGATTTCAGACATGGTCAGTTGAGTTAGGACAGGTAGAAATAGGTGACAGGTGGGGGAGATTAAATGCACAGCCTACTGGAGAGAGCACTGGCAGTTCAAAGACAGTGGAAGGGCAAGAGTTCTCCTCTTGCTATTAATGCACCTCCTGAAAACTCCTCATTTTGATTTCCTGGGAAAACACTGACATTTGATTAAAAGTATTCAATTCTTTCACCTGATGAGGTCAGGCTCAGAGGTGCAAAAATTTCTCAGGTAATCAGGCAGCACTTAGTTGTCTGACCATAAGTATCCGGTGCTACCTGCAGAGGACCCAGTGTCTCGGAAGCACAAGCCTGGGACTGGCAGCTGTCACAGAGGACCTGCTGGAGACAAGAGACTCCTAGAATCATCACCTGGAGCCTGGGCAGAGGGTCCCAGGGCACTTACACTGGCTCCACGTGCCAGTGTCCTGCCAGCTGCATCCCACCATGTATTGGGTCTGGCTGAGATGGGGTTAATTTTCCCCACAGCAGCTCTCAGAATGCTGGGGTTTGTATCAGTAGCTAGA